GTGTAAATTAACTAAGGCTATTGTTCTTTAATCCTCAGCGGGATTGACAAATTTAAATAACAAAGCAAAACCGAAATGAGTTCTGTTAGTTGTAGTCAAATATCGTCATCGTGCAATTGTCCTGTTGAGGGCCACAGTATGACTTAAAGCGGAGCGTGCGGAGCGGACTACCATGGGTAGGAAAATTTGGTTATCTATGCGTACCAGAAATTTTGGTTGTGAAAAATCGTACGTCCGTTTGTCTGCACGTCTCCCCATTCATGTAAGTGGATGTGAAATGTCTTACTTGCTAACTTGAAAGTCCAAGAAGTATGCACGACTGTGTTGAACTTGATATTGGACATCCATGTTATGATCAATTGACAGCTGACAAAATAGGGTATCCGCTGACCAGTGTCACATGACTGTATCGCAAGTTCAGGTGTACAACTCATTGAGGGTTTTTTAGTTTTCCGTTGACCAGCTATTTGTTTTCAAGTGATCGCAGGCTCAGAAAACTTTACTTCAGAAAGCCACTTATAGTCAGGTCTCTTAGCGTCAGGATCGTTACAGAGTTGACAAAAGCACCAAACTTTGCACAGCGATAGCTTAATGCAGCACCATGAATATTAGAGGGGGTGCCCACTGCAAATGTGCCACTGAAGCGTGCTAAACAGGATTTAATTATTGTAAATTTCATCTGCTGGGGTCCCTGTGGTGTTTTCATTGAAAATTGTTATTTAATACCTTAAATCACTCTGAATTCTATTCTCATGTTGTAAACAACAATTTCACTCGAACATCTGGCATTCCCATCCATTTTTGCTAATTGATTGTATAATTAAGTTGATTATTACTGTGCCCTTAAAGCAAGTCCACAGTCCGCCCACATTTTCATAAGTCATTTCTAAGATGGCCTCGTCTTTGCTTCATAACTTGCAAGTACTCAGCTTCTGGGGTTCTCTTCCCCTTTTCTAATGTACTTCAATTAGAGGAGGCCTTATTGTGTGGCTTAAGTCTTATTTATCAAGTATTACTTGTCATTACATGTCACTTTAACCTGAAGAAAGCGTATGGCATAGCGATTCACATACAAAATTTCAGAAAAAAGAAATTGTCAAAGAGTCTGTTGTATCACATGTTATCAGGGATTTATGACAGCTATTCATGGAGAGCAAATAACGAAATGACAGAACCCAAAACAGTTCTTTCCTAGGGAGGTAATTAATTTTTCAGCTTAACATAGGCCTGGATGCCTTTCAGTCTCTCTTTATCCAGTTATCTGCTGGACGCAAGTGCATGTTTCGACAGAGAAGCAAGCACCGTGGCACAAGTCATATCATTTACAATTCCCGCAGTTTGTCTAAGCTTTACAAAGCAAAAACAAACAAAAAAGAATCTGGTCTCATAAACGAAAAAAAGAAACAAGTTAGCCCAAGCTTCAAAAAACAGCACAGTTTATCAGTGGCACTGAAGCACTCATGTCCAAAAATAATAAGAGCTTATCAAGTCGTAAAAGTGAGACTCAAGTGGTACAAGATTGACTCAAATGATAAATGTAGTTTAACTGCTGAAACTGTAGAAAGGGGGCCGGGCTAACTTTTAGGGCCTGTTTACATGGAGGAGGGGGACCCCAGGTAGGAATGGTAACCCACTTAGGTGGGGTAACCCGCCTGTCCATATAATCTCTCATTTTAATTTGATCACGTTTACATGATAGGTGGGGTCACCCTTCAAGGTGGGTAGCCCGGTCTGTCACACCAGGTAACCCTCTCAGCTGAGGTCAAATTTTGCCATGTCAGCGTTTCAAGGTGAGGTAACCCAGGCTAGTCGGGGTTGGATTCGTGATACATCAAATTCGCGCAAAATTCACTTTGGCGCCGGGTGGCTTCACATAATTATTAAAGGTAACAATAGAAAGCCACAACACTGAAGGTTGCAGCAAGAGCAGCAATTGAGCGTAGACGTGGTTTGCCAGCATTTTTCTTGTTTACGTGCTTAGCGACCATTCAATAATCTTGAGAAACTGCACCCCAGGATGGCGGGGTTGTAAGATTGCATGTAGAGGAGAGTTATTTTTTTACCCCACCTAAGCAGGTTACCTCACCTGCCTGGGGTCCCCCACCTTTATGTTAACAGGCCCTAAGTCTCAGGAACCGTGAAACTGGTAATAAACGGTATACCTAACCCGGGACTAGCTGTGATACTGCCGGCCATCTTCAAGAACGTCAGCATAGCAGCCAAAGAAGCCATTATATCGGTGTAAAACGAATATTAGATTGCGGTGGTTTCATGCGCCTCGTTTTGTGACTTTTTTTGTTTTCGTTTTTGTCACTATCTCTAAATATCAATCATGTTCAAAACACCCCTACTAACAAAATATTCCGTAAAGCTCTTTAGAATGATATTCAGCAATAAAAACAAGGTGTGACCAGGAGCCGATTTCTAGGCTCCTGGTGTGGCAACATAGGCATAAGTGAATGCAAAGTTTTGCAGTATGCAATCTGTCAGAAATCTGTTTGAGTGGTCTAAGTTGGGGCTGATGGGCTTCTTTATCATGACCACTCCATTATTATAAGGGACCAGGCCATAATTATTGTTGACCCTTGCTTTTTTTGGTATTTTATGTAATTTTCAACAGCATTATTTTGTGAAAAGTTGGTAACTGAATTGCTCTCGAGGAATTCATGATCGTAAGATTTCGTAACCACGGGGTATTCGTCTAATTGCATCAAACAAATTACATTCATTTTCATAAATGATGCGTCATTGGTTGACTAAAAGAGGCCTTGTTCCTGTAAATTTCAGCTCTTCTGAAGTTAGTTTGTTTGTAAATTGTAGCGCACGCGACGACCTTCCTTTTTTTGAAAGATCGTATAGACAAACTTACCATTAACACTCTGGTCCAAGGGCTCTGAAGTCAATGAGCCGCTTACAGGTGTCTAGACATGCAGGGACCTCATACACTTCTTTTTAAATGCAAAATTATCTGCAAAAGATAAAGAGTGTTAAAAATTCCTGGAGAGGCATGTTTTACAACCTCGTCCCCAGGGCTTTAAAAAAAGGTAGACAAAGGTAAAGCGACCATATTTTACGTCAATAACTCGTGACAGTAATAATAACTGATAAACTTGAGGTCGACGGTGCGCTCCTTTTACCCCCCTCTCTCCATTAATTCTCCGTTTTAAGGGTATTTAAAGGTAGTCAAAGCTCCACAGAAAAAAGAAAAGTTGAAATAAAGATGTGTTGACACCGGGGATCGAACTCGGGACCTCGCGCACCGGAGGCTGCGCACTAACCAAGTGTGCCACCCTTGCTCCCCCTTTTCCCCTTGAGGACGAGGTTGGCATGTTTTAATCATTATCTCAAGGACAGGGTTACCAACGAAGCAAATTATAATCTACTCTTAGCTGCACAATTACAAAGTGGGCGCGTTGTCAGTTACGGTTCATGGGGTCGTTCATGTGGCATGTCAAACTGTAACGATTCTACCGTTTAGGATGTGATACATTTCAGTTTTACGTTATTGTATGACATCTTTGAAAGCTTGCTTTGTGATCTGTTTAAATTGATATGTAATGATGTTATAACTGGCAAGTCTTAGCAGTGACACTGATAGCCGCACAGTCCGCACAGTGAACATGGCCACACTTACCGTGTGGAGACTGGGCACTAGGCAGTATTATGTACATGTAAAAACTATTTTGAATAGTGTAACAACAACTAAACATTACCAAATTATAAACTTAAAAATTTGAAACGAATGTTTTTTAGCCAAATCAAACAAGAAGAGTACTCACCACAGGGCACCCAATCTGCTATTATAGGTGAAAGTTAACTTCCCCCCCCCCTTTTATCTGTAATTAGGACCATTTGTAACGGGCACCCCCTCCAGTATTAATCGGTAGGTGCTAAGGAAGCTCTGTGCCAAATTTGACACTTTTGTCACGTCTGTAACGATCCGGCCTATATTTTGCACTAAGAGACCTGACTATTAATGGGAATGAAGCTGATGAAGAAATTGAATCTTAAACTTACCGGTGAAGAGAATTCTAGTCCGTGTTTAAAATTTTTAACGGAGATCACAATTGAAAATACGAGAACGAACTGGCGGGGGTGCGAGATGTTTTGCCATAGAAAATTACCGAGCTAATCCTTAGATGATGACAGCAAACTTACCTTGACAAGCTTATTTGCTATTTGCAGTGTTTTTTCAGTGTTTTTTACAAACACTAACGAAGGAAAGATGTAAGCAACTTCGATACAGACACAGTGTTCAGTTTCCAAAGTACTCTAGCGTTAAATTGGTGTGCTAAAACTTACAGTGCTCTTAGTTTTGACCAAATAAGCCGTTCTCACCATATTCAAACAAAAGAAGCAAGGCTAATTTTACACTCAGGAACATATATATATATATATATAGATTTGTTACCGGCCAATATTTCGGCAGGTACGGCCTTCCTTCTTTAGGGCCTTACATACAATGATAAAGTTAAGCTAAGACGTTACACTTTGAAATAAAAAATAGCGTGCAATATGATATCATAATAACACGTGACAATTTAAAATTCAAAATTAAAAGCGAAATTTTAAAGTATATGAAAACAAAAACCGTTGAAGTGGTAATATGAAAGAAATTGAAATGTAAAAATAGTATAAATAAATAATTACAAATAGAAGAAATAAGGAATGTGTTAGATTTCATCTTTCTTGTCTTTCATTTTTTACATTTCAAACTACCTTGGGTAGAAATGATCTCGAGATATCTCGAAATAATTCTGCTCTCTCTTCGGGGAAATTCGAAAGCCACTTTGGGACATTCCTGCTCGTCTCTAATCCTTTACTTGGTGCTCCGCCCAAGTAACAAACTGAGTCCTTTTCAGTTCTTCTCTTCTTTGTAATTTCAAATTTTTCGGAAAATCTCTCAGCCGCGAGCATTATCGTCCAATATACCAGCCGCCGGAAGGGGTTTAGATACTAAATGTGACTTTACCTCTGCTTTTGTCTGCCAGGAGGGAAATATGGGCGGTAGCCAATCTAGCTTGCCACCTGCACCACTGGGATGCGAATATATGTGTATAGCTATTCGCGAGCCAGACAAACTGCGCATCATTCTTGGTACTGATCAAGAAGCAAATATAGTCCGCCAGATTATACAAGAATCATGGCCAATGGGCATTCAGAAAGAGTCCTTTAAGCTAAATGGTGTCTATAAATTCAAGCTGAAAGGATGGCCCTTTGAAACTTCATCGTTAACTGAAGCCGTACATTGCAGGCAAATGGCAGAAAGAATTCTACACAGGCTGCATCGGAATGGATGGCATCTTCAGATTTCCAGCGATTTAACTCAAACAAAAGATCTTAGCACATGGTTTTTCAGAAAAGTCCCAGAAGTAACAAATTTCTCATCTCAACCTTTTCTCGTTGTTGGCCTCAGCTCGTCGGACAGTTTGATGGTGCTAAACGCCCCCGTGGATCTCCATCAACTCTTGAAGAATGCCATAAGTAAGTCATGGCCCAGTGGAATTCAGAAATGGTCATATGAAAATGATGTTTTACTGATCAAGTTAAAGGGCTTTCCATGGTGTCCAGACGGCTCTGAAACTGTCCATTCAAGAGTGGTTCTGCAAGCAATTATACATGATCTGTCTCAAAAACAATGGCATTTATATGGAAATTCTAATCTTAAGAGTACTGCAAACACTCTGTTTTTCAAGTACGAACCAGACATGTCTAGCTCAAGCGTGAGCCATCCTCTTCCACCTCCATGGCACTTCACAATCAGTCTCAACAGTAACGACTTACTGAGAGTGATTGATGCTCCTGAGAGCCTGATCCCTACCATCCGGGACATCATCCAAACCTCGTGGTATAGAGGAATCCAAGGCGTTTTGCGTTACGCTGGAAGCTGGGAGTTCAAGCTCAAGGGAACCCCTTGGTGGGCAGATGGCCAAGAGACGGTAGAAGCAAGGATTTTGATTCTGAAGTTGATGGAGATGCTGCATGCTGTTGGATGGAGCCCTATTGCTAGTATCGACAGTTCAAGAAAAGTTTCTGATAAGAGTTCCTTGATTTTCAGACAGTCCCAACCAAGGCAGTCGCCCTTTTTCTGCTTGAGCTTGCATAAAACCGACACACTGCGGCTGATAAATGCACATGAAGATGTTGCAAGGGTATGTTGCAAGTGTAACTGACGCCTAACTATTTTTCTTCATATATACACCTTGCTAACATACCTGATACACGAAGATATCAATAGATCGAATTGAAGGCACAACAAACCAAAATCAGTTTTAACTCTTAAAACTTTAAAAAAAATGAAAAAAGGAAGAAAGGAAGAAAGAAAGAGAGAAAGAAAGATAGAACAAAAACTGAGATAATTTTTCACTCTGGCATTCACTTAGCGTTGACGTTATTTTAATTTTCGGTTTCTGCTGACGAAATAACCCAAGGGGTGGCCTAGGGTATAGGTTTGTAACAGATCACTAGAATTGGCTCACATTCTCGAACACCTGCCATATAGTGACCAGAATGGGTTCTATGATCGGCCAGATAATCATGGTTATAATTGGGTAGGAGCTCTGAGAGGCCATTGGCACCTACCAAGCAAAGGCAAAACTAAATACCCCCTGGAGAAATATGTCTTTGGACATTATAAAGTACGGTTAGAAACACTTGATGATATTAGCTTTTTTAAGGCAACTTGTTTGGTGCACTATGAAACCTTTATTTGATTCTTTCTCTCGATTTAGGTTTGCCAAGAAGTTATCCAGACACAATACGTCCTTGGTGTTCAAAAAGTAAGGTACTATGGGAACAGCCTGGAGTTCAAACTACTGGGAAATCCATGGAGGTGTGGCCTTAATGGTCATGATGGCATACATGGCAGATACATGATATGTCAGTTGTTTCATGCTCTGGCAGGTCTCTACTGGACACCAGTCATATCAGCAGATTTGTCGGCCAAATATGTTGAAGTAAATGGTCAGGAAATCCCAGTCGATGTCGACAGTATATTCTTTAAATATGATCCTGCAGCTGCAGCAGCACTACCACCGGCCTTTCCACCACAAGCTGCATATCCCTTACCACCTATGTTCTGATCAGCCTATAAATCCTCATGAGTCAAGTATTCCTGTCTCTAATACAATGGAACCTCTATTCAGGGGACAAGGACACCCTCTAGACCAAGGCAAGTGTCCCCTGAATAGAGATGACCCCTGAATGGAGATTGGGCTGGGGGTCTGTTAATAATTCACCAACAAAGACAACATAAAAAACTCGTCGTTAGCCTATCTCTGAGACATTATATGTTGACTTCACATAGTTCAGTTTGTGAAAGCTTCCATAATTGTGATAAGTGTACATTTAAAGATGTCAAGTGAACCCTCACTCTTTATGGTCAGACACTTTTTTTTTCTTAAACCAGAGTGCGCGGATATTTTTCATCAGAGCTTTCTCTGGTTGTTACGCCATACTGACGAGCCCCAAAGAGGGCAAAACAGCTGTCCATGGCTACAATCCCGCTCTGTTTTGAGTTCTTTCGGTGTCGTGTTGATGTCTTGTAGAGTTAATTTTTCACGTAGTACGATCAGCATTGCAGTATTCTGCTTGGAGAATTTAATATGCTACTTTTTGAGAGCTAAGGTGTCCTCTAAATGGAGGGTAAGCCGGAGTTCTGGGACCCAGAAAACATGTCCCTTTTCCCATGAATAGCCGGGTATCCCTTCAATAGAGGTAATAGATACAATGATTATGCGAACATTTTTCTGCGACCACATTTGGGAATTTTGTTTTCCCTGAATGGAGATGTATCCCTTGAATAGAGATGCAGTCCCAAAGGACTGGTTCCACTGTAGAGGTAATAATGTCACGGATACATTTTTGCTTTTGGTAAAAATTGAGCACAGAAAGATTTATTATTACTAGGAGAATGCGATGTCTAATTATATCTAACATGTTACACCAAATGTGGATCAAGGTTTGTCACCCTTCTTGCGAGTTTCCTTTGAAGAACCACTGACGTAAATATTTTCCTCTTCTTTTAAAAAAGACACGTGGATTATGATGGACATATATTACAAAATTTATTAGCTTTAGTGCACTAGTGGCACAGTTTAAAAAAATCTTTACAAAGCTTGACCCTGTACTGTATCTGTACTAAGGTGTAGGTAAACAATTTCCATAGGTACGCACACAACCCGAGCTTCCGCGTGTGGCAAAATACCGCATTTTGTTTTAAAAATATCTGACAGACGTTAAGGGGAGTTACATAGGTTAATGTACCGTCTTTCAGCTATTCCTTAGTTATATTTTAGACCCGGTTCTGATTAGGAATCTCAGTATTGTAAACTATATATAGTGGAATATATTAACGTCGCTGAAGTCTTTATGCGGGAAAATCTCATAATCTGATAACTATAAGGTCATTGTGTTATTTCTAGGTAGTTTAACGGGTTTGACTATATGAATATCTAGTTTTAGATTGGTTAACTAAAATCTAAGAAGGAATAAGCGCGTACGTTGCTGTGACTCAAAATTATACTGAGCCGCAATTTTTGATGATATTCAAGTTCTATTTCTAGCCACTTACAGATTAAAAATTAATTGTTCCAGCTTCCCTTCATGTCCATCGGCTGAGTTGGCTCACAAATCGTTTGAATGTATACCAATAAGGGCGAACGCAAACTTTGCACGCAAAAAAATAGTCTGTTTTTTTGTGTGTGTTTTTTCACGTCTTTCGTTAAGCAAAAGGTCACACGGAAAAACGATGGAAATGAAGGCGAAAGAAAAAAAGCTACAAAGCTTTCGCACGACTGTATCCTTTACTTTCGAAACAAAAAGCCGAGAAAAAAAAATCGAAAAAAAAAATAGCTCCCTAATGAAAACATGTTGGAATTTTGGGGGGCAAATGTAATCCACCCCTTGACATAAAATAGAGTTTTGCTCGGAGGTCACAAGCAAACTTCCAGCGTTTACAAAAATGGCGCATGAAAGGACATGCAACGCGGTGCTCTTTTGAATAAAACGATATATGAATGTATGAATAAATTATCCGTGAAGGGTTTGGGCTCTTGCCCACTCCTTCCCTCCTTCTCCTTCCCCCGCCCCACCCCCGAGGAGTTACCATTTGTAAACCAGTAAGTTTTCTTTGACAAGTTTCTTTTTGCAAGTTATGTTTTGGTAGTTGAGATGGAAAAACGTTTTCCCTTTCTATCCAAGCTACCAAACGAGACTTGTCAAGAAATCTCACTACACACACACACACAAAAAAAAAAAAAAGAAAAAGAAAAAAGAAATCTCACTAGTTTGAAAGTGGGAGGTGGGGTGGTTGTACGTAGGATTTGTTTCCAACTCCTCTACTTCCACTTAATTTCCCATCTCTTTTGGTAACTCTGTAAAGTAAGTTTTGCCATTAAAATTTTTTTGGTAAAGGAGATGGAAAAGTCAGGAAAGTTTTTTCATATGTCGAGGAAAGTACTTTCTTTTCCATCCATCTACCCCCTCGCCAAAGAGAACTTTTTAGGAAAATTTGCTAGTGTCTAATAAGGTATAGTCACAATAAGACTGTCCGAAGCTGAATCTAGTAAAGGCTTGCGGTTGTTTATTTTATTGTTAGATCTTGATGATTTCGTATGTTCGAGTAGTACCCTTTTCAGTTTTCTGGTTCAGCTATACAGTGGTTTATTTAACTCCAGTTTTATAAGAACTAAAAAAGTATAACACAATAAGTCTGATTTGTTGGGTTTGGAATACTACAAGAAACGGTTAATTTTTCTGCTGAAGACTTCTCCTCTCTTCTCTAGAGTTAGGTATGAGTACTTTTATTGAAATTTGTTTCTCGATATCGGTGACCGACTTACCAATTGAATTTTTATGAGTGAAACAGTGGTACTGTTTATAAACAAATTTTACAGGACGTTTTACATACATAAATCGATTATTTCTGAGGAAGATCTTAAAGAAACAATTTTCAACCAAGTATGAAAATAAAAGAGGAAGACTACTAGCCCTTCATGTCAATTTTCTTTTTCCTCTTTGGTTTTCGACGGCATAAATTGGCTTTAGAGGAGCCGCAGATGCTAAACGTTCGGCAGCTTTATTTTCCAACCGTGCCTTTCTGTCAAAATAAAAAAATTACCTTCGATTATTAAATTTAATGCTACTAACTGGTACCTAAAGATAGAAAATATAGCCAGATCTACTTTTATGCCTCACACTTTTTCACATTTTTGGACGTGAACCATTGACGTCATCCATACTCATCCCTGCCGGTTCTTTCAAATGTGCTAAGAAAAACTACAAAAAAAAAATGCACTTTATTTAAGTGTTAATGCATTTAGGACGAAAGTACTAACTGAGGGCACTATTTTTAGAGACGGGACTGCCGTTGTATGTGGTCATCCGAGCCACACGAAAGTATAGCCATTTGCAAGGCAAACGTAGCAGCCTTATTTCTCAACCATTTTAAGACCCTGACTGTTGGTCCGGTCCCGAGAATCGAACGGGGTTGCAGTCGAGCGCTCTACCTACTGAGCTAATCCTGCCGCGTATACAACTGTAAAACGTGTCATATTGCTTACTTTTTTTCTAGACCACTGGAGGTTTTAAGCGAGAGGCAAAAACAACTGATTTCTCTTGAATGGGATATATGACTGGACTGCAAAACAGTCTGTTTTTTTCTCAAAATCGGTTTAGTAAAGAGAGCCCGCGCGGGCCTCACACGCACGCGCGAGAAAAAAAAAAACGACTGTCCGTTTTCCATACATTGAGGGCCTGTTTCGAACGTCGCGCTACTGCCATGCAAAGCTGGTTCGATTGCAGCTCGCTCGACTGCAGTACGACACTAGCACGTCTTGGTTTCAGACGTCGAATTTATTTCAGTCGAATAGAACGGTAGCCTGCGAACGGCAGACGTTTCTCCTCGCTCATCGCCGCTGAAGGACGTTCCTCAGCGGCGATGAGCTAGAAGAATTATAAGTCTGCCGTACGCAGGCTAAATAGAACGGCTATTGCCGAAAACAAAACACAAAAATAAAAAACGGTTGATCAAACTTTTAATGTATTCTAATTTTACAGATGCCGAGATTTATAACATATCATATGTGTGAATTGAGTTCGGCACGGGGGGGCACAGCGGTAGCACGACATTTGAAACCAAGTCGAGCTACTGCCTTGTAGCACGGCAAGGCTTGCCGTGCTACACGGAGCGCAGTAGCACGACTTGGTTTCAAACGTCACGCTACTGCCGTGCTAAAGTTGAATTTAATTCTATCAATTGGGTTCAGCACGTGTTACCAATATTTATTTCCAAAAAATCTCAATCCATTATGGAGCCAGGAGCCCATAACTGGAAGCGAGCAACTCCTACACTTTCGGTAGGTACGTATATCACGGACCGATTTAATACCTTATTATAGGAAATTAACGCTCCATGAAATTAAGGTATCGCAAATTGACGCGACTTTATAAATTAGCGCGAATTTAATGGAAAACGACTTTCGAATAAAGAAGATTAACGCGAAAGAGGAGGTAGAATTTCATAATAAAGGAAATTAACGCGATTAAGACACATTTGGTGGTGACAACTGGAACAAGTTTATTTCAACACTGGATGCAAAAAAATTCCAAACTGAACAAAAGTGAGCTGACACCACCTCTGACAGCGACAACGATGAAGATGAACTTGAAATATTGTAAACCTTCACTGAACCTTTGCCTTAGCTTTTGTGAAAGATGAAAAATAAAGGGTAAATGGAAAGAAAGAAAGCTTGTAGTTAATGTTTTTTAGGTATCAAGATTGTCTGGGCAGGTTCCAAAATTGGGGTTAAAATACTGGAAATTAACGCTGCACTTAATTAACGTCGCGGAAATTAACGCTCGACAAAATTAATAATGCGACTTAAATTAACGCGAATTTTAACGATTCGCGTTAATTTCCTATAATAAGGTACATTTTAGAGCACTTGTAATTTTTCCCGCGAAAATGGAAACGGTTACGATCATCACGAACGTGGGACAAAGAAAAAATCTGAGTCCCCGACAGGTTTTTAGTGTTAAACAGGATAGTAAAATATCCTCACTGCACACCTATTACCCCGTC